TCGGTAGAGCCCCAGAAAGAGCAGGCACTGGAGGGGATCGTTTGGAGCCTCAGTACTGGACAGAACCCTAGAAGGAGGAGGCAGCAGAGGTTGATCATTTGGAGCTTCATTACGATGTACAGCCCCAGAAGACGAAGGCAATAAATGCCTTTGGAACAAACCCACAAATCTCTGATGATCAAGTAAAACCTGACCATCAGATTCCTTCATCTGGTCAAGCTTTCTCTTCATGTTTGTAGCATAGTCATGTGCGAACCGGTGCAACTGTTTATTCTCATGCTTGAGCCCTCTAATCTCCTGTTTGAGACTCATCACTTCAGCCGCCAATGATTCAACTTGGCGGGTTCGAGCAAATAGGCGTTGGGCCATGTTAGACACAGAACCTGCACACTGAACACAGAGAGCCAGAGAATCCTTAACAGCCAACTCATCAGACCGTTTGGAAAGTAGTCTGTTATCTTTGGGAGTGAGAAGGTTCCTAGCTACTACCGCAGCGGTTATATCATTCTTCATCACGGAATCCCCAACAGTAAGAGGACCAGTAGGGGAGACGAAGGATGGGCGCCATATGTTGTCTGGAGAAGGCGTGGCTGCCTCTTCAACAAGGTTCAAGTCAAAACGACGGTCGGAGAGGCCAGACATTTTCAAAGGTGTTGAAGAGAGAAGAGGTCGGACAAATCAAGATCTTAGAAGTGCAAGAATGGAGCTTCTACTGGTGGAGATTCAAGTGTGCTTTGGAACTTAATGCCAACCTCTATAAAAATTTGCACTCGACGAAGCTTCAGAAATCGAAGAGGCGTTTGCTTTCTCAAAAGCTGGGCTGCTCAGAGACCACGAGACGTTTGCTTTCTCAAAAGTTGGGCTGCTCAAAGACCACGAAGGCCGATCTCAGAAATCGAAGAGGCGCTTGCTTTCTCAAAAGCCGGGCTGCTCAGAGACCACGAAGGCCGATCTCAGAAATCGAAGAGGCACCTACTTTTCCAGCCTTGTCAGCACCTGTCAGCTTTGCGGAAATTATGGGCATTATGTCGAAGATTTCTGGTGAAGTAGAAAGCATATGAATCTTACTGTTCAATCACCCACTTCCCACATGCAACATTAGCTCATGGGTACCACAGATAACTTTGCCAAAGTCTCTGACAAAGTTGAAACACGTGAAGCTTGCAGCTCCCACTACACCGCTCTGACCAAGAAGGGTAAAAGAATAGCAAAGAAACAGCACTAACAAAGTTTAGACACATAAATTTTGAAGGTCTAGCTACCATATTATTACCCACAAGGGTAAAGGAACAGTACCACTGCTGGATAATTGAAAAGTCCCTGTGTGTCAACCTCTGTGCTTCGTGGCAAGATAGACTAACAAACATGCCCAACCTTTTCTCACATTCGAGAAAACACTCCCAACAAGATTGCTTGCTCCAAAATCGAAGAGGCACAGCCCTCCGAATCTCGAGAGCCAGACTCCCAACATGATTACTTTCTCAAAAATCGAAGAGACACCGCTCTTCGAATCTCGAGAGCCAGACCCCTAGCGGAATGGCTTTCTCAAAAATCGAAAAGGCATCGTTCTCCGAATCTCGAGAGCCAGATCTCCGACAGGATTGCTTGTTCGAAAACCGAAGAGGCACCACTTTCCCAACTTCAAGAGCCGGATCTCCTTGGATAAAGCTTGTCTGTAATCTTTACACGCAACATCAGCTTTCCAGATACCATAGACCACTTTTTCAAAGTGCTCTGACAAAGTTAAAACATGTGAAGCCGGCAGCTCCCACTATCGTGTTATGACCAAGCAGGGTAAAGGAATAGCATTACTACTTGTTGTTAGGGAGACTCCTATATATGTTGACCTCCATCCCCAACAGACAGGCAGACCTGCAAAAATGTTCAACCCTTCCTCATATCTGAGAGGGCACTTCCAAAGAAGCCTTTCGAAATATTCAGCTTTCTTTCCCCCTGATAATACCTCTACAAACAAGCTATACTAGAGCAAGAATATCTCATATCATCAGGGTTAAAAGCAAGAGTATCCCATATCATGTTTTTTCCCTGTCTTTTCCTTTGGCCTTGTTCTTACCTACAAGACAAGGAGAAAGAGAGCAATCAGTCAGCACTTAGAATCAAGCTTCCAGTCAGGAACTGACTGCCTGGAACCCCTTACTTGATTACTTACCTGGCATTGCTCTCGAGTACTCATCTTCAACATCTTATGCTTCCAGGGAAGATACCGCATATGCCTGAGGAACATATAGGGCAAGTGAGAAGGATACAAGGAAGCATGTGGAGACAAGCGTAACAGCACACGTGCCTATACATCCACTACTCTGTCAAAAGAAAAAGTATCCCATATCAGCAGGGTCGAACGTACTATAGATTTGATGGACTTGTTTTGACCCTCAAATTCTTCAGTCGGCCTTATACTCTGGAGGAAACCAGAAAACCCTCCAGCCCAGTTCAAGAATAAGCCTGTGGAAAGTTACTTCTTCAAAAGCAAAAGTATCCCATATCATCTCTTCTCATTTTTCTTCTCTTTATCCTTCATGCTGCCTGCAAGATAGGGAGAATGTGAACAATCAACCGGAACTCGAAATCAAAGTTCTGATCTGGGACTGATTGCTTGGAGCTCTGATTGCTTACCTTGTTTGTCATCTCTTTCAGCAGATCCCCTAGCTCGGCGACTTGGAGGACTTCTACTACATGGTTTGTATCGCGCTTGACCAAGCCCGAAACTACAAGCAAGCTTCAAGTGAAATTGATACATTACCTTGTGCATCTCCACCAGTTAAAGATACCACCCCTGGATGGAGGAAGAGTACTTCCAGAGAAGATGCCACATCTACCTACGAGACAGATAAGGCAAGTCAAGACGATACCACACTCCGGAACTTAGAAGTTTCGTGATTACGAGATCATTCTCCCACAATATTTCCTAATATCATTTGTACTAACTAAAAGAGAGCTTGAACCTATGTACTTGTGTAAACCCTTCACAATTAATGAGAACTCCTCTATTTCGTGGACGTAGCCAATATGGGTGAATCACGTACATCTGGTGTTTGCTTTCCTATCTCTATCCATTTATATACTTATCCACACTAATGACCGGAGCAATCTAGCGACGATCACAAAAAGCGACCGTTTTCGCTACCTAGGATCTATCTTGCAAGAGAACGGAGAATTAGATGGAGATCTCAACCATAGAATACAAGCTGGATGGATGAAGTGTAAGAGTGCATCTAGCGTGTTGTGTGATCGTCGTAGGTCACTGAAGCTCAAGAGAAAATTTTATAGGACGGCAATAAGGCCAGCGATGTTGTATGGCACAGAATGTTGGGCGGTGAAGCATCAACACGTACACAAAATGGGTGTAGCGGAGATAAGGATGCTTCGTGGGATGCTTCGTGGGATGTGTGGGCACACGAGAAAGGAGAAGATTGTGAATGAGGATATCCGAGGTAAAGTAGGAGTAGCCGAAGTTGAAGGAAAGATGAGAGAAAATCGGTTACGGTGGTTTGGACATGTGCAAAGAATGCCTACTGACACTCCGGTTCAAAGATGTGACTACGGAACAGAGGTTCGGGGCCGAAGGGGTAGAGGAAGACCTAGGAAAACTTTGGAAGAGACCCTAAGAAAAGACTTAGAGTACTTGGATCTAACGGAAGACATGACACAAAACCGAGCGCAATGGCGTTCTAGGATTCATATAGCCGACCCCACTTAGTGGGAAAAGGCTTTGTTGTTGATGTTGTTGTTGTTGTTGTTGTAGCGTAAGTATGCACAGGAAGTGTTAGACAGGTTCAACATGGGTCAGTGCAACTCAGTGCACAACCCTGTGGTTCCTGGATTCAAACTCACTCATGATGAAGGGGGAGCAAAAGTAGACAGCACGCACTATAAGCAAATGGTTGGGAGTCTTATGTATTTAACAGCTACACGACCTGATCTTATGTACGCTGTAAGTCTAATTAGCAGGTATATGGAGAATCCTACAGAGACTCATTTGTTGGCAGTCAAAAGGATCTTAAGATACGTGAAGGGAACTGGTGATTTTGGGGTATTTTACAAGAAGGGAGGAGATGAAGAGCTCATTGGCTATACGGACAGTGACTATGCCGGTGATCAAGATGACAGGAAAAGTACTTCAGGTTATGTATTTATGATGAATTCAGGTGCAATATCATGGTCCTCGAAGAAGCAACCAGTGGTCACTCTATCTACTACTGAAGCAGAATTCATTGCTGCCGCTTCAAGTACGTGTCAAGTGGTGTGGATAAGAAGAATTTTGAGTTGCTTGAATCTAAGGCAAAACGGTCCAACAAAGGTTTACTGTGATAATATCTCAACCATTAAGCTGTCAAAGAATCCAATGCATGGTCGCTATAAACATATAGATGTAAGGTTTCACTTCCTTCGAGATCTTGTTAAGGATGAAGTAGTGGAGCTGCTGCAGTGTTCTACTCAGGAGCAGATTGCAGACGTGATGACGAAGCCACTGAAACTTGAAGTATTTCAGAAACTGCGAGACCTAATGGGTGTATGCAAATGGCCTGGAATAAACTGAATCAATAGTATTCAGTTTAAGGGAGGATGTTGAAGTTGTCAAAGATTCTAGTTGATAGGTTTCCTTTATTCTAGGGCTTATACCTTGGACGTGCTAATAACCCTCCTATACTTGAGGGACAAGTTTGTTATCCGTTTTTGAATTAGTCGATTACCACGATTCTAGGGTTGTTATCGTGGGTTGTTATTTCATTTTTCTTGTTGATGTAAGGCTATTTAATAGCTGATTGATGTCTTTCAGTTTAATAAGAATGCTTCTGAGTTATCCAATGCAATATACTTTGTGTTCGTATTCTCAAAACTTCACGTAAACCTAGTTCAGTTTCAACAAATCATATCATATGCATCAAGAATTCTGAGCGATCATACCATCCAAAGAAATTTCCATCTCCCAACATTTATCGAATCACGAAAGGAGATGATCAAAGCCTTTAGTAAATTACCTGAGACATGAATTTATATACCGATTTCCCTTGGTAGCAGCATCAAGCACTGAAATTCAAAATACAATAACATTGCTACTATTCAATTTCCTAAATTCGGAACACGGAATTAATCATCCTAACTACAAAATCGTTACAATGTTTTGCATAAACATACCTGATTCTTGAAGGCGGCCAGCAGCGTCACCAAAGCAATGCATGTGATCAACTGAGTTGCTAGTAACCTTCATCATTGCAGCAATTCCCAAATCATTCAATTATGATTTAATCAAGAGAAAATTTTAAAAAACTAAAATAAAAGAAAACAAATTTTCCTTCCGTTTCCTTCACTTTCTCGAGAACCAAACATGAAGTCGAAGCCAAAACAAAATTGGGATGAAGGAGGGAGTGACCTCGGAGAGGGCCAGGCGGAGGGAGGCGAAGAGGGAGGTGAAGCTGTCGGCGATGGCCAGGGAGTCTCTCTCGACCACTTCGAGAGCTCGGAAAATCTCGGTCTGGTTCATCGGAGGGGGTTTCGAATCGGTGCGGTTGTCCTCACTGGGATCGAGTGTGGAATCAGGACACGTGGACTGTGGACCGAGACGTGGGTCCGAGGTTAGGGCTTCGGAGCTCGTCGGATTGGGCGGTCGAGGTGGTTCTCCTCCGTCTTCCTCCATTTTCCCGCGGGCTTTGTTCCTGGTTTTGTCTGGAAGACTGGAATTGTTAATCAATAGCAAGATACAATAAACATAAGGGAACTTTAAGAAAAACATCCGTACGGTTTACTTTAACAAAAAATCATATTTTTACCCTAAAAAGTCAATCTTGGTACTATTCACTTTACCTTTTATTTTGTTCTTATCATTAAAACTCAAAGTTTTCAAGTCTTTTTCATTAGTTTTCCTAAAAAATAATACTAAAGGAAAAAGTAAGGAGAAAGTTATTTAGGATATTGCTATTCACACATTCATTTTTACTTTTTATATATTTTCTTTAATTTTCAATCGTTGGATCGAATGAATTGAAAAATATTAATGATTAAATGTTAATAAGAATGTCTAAAATATAAAAATAAGTGTATGAATAGCATTATCCTATATTTATTGACACCAAAAAGACTTGTAATTTAATTTCACAAATTAGTCGAAATGATCTTTTTTCAATGTTTAATTGTATTTGACGTTGATATTTAATTGATATGTTGTCGAATGTCAATATTTACATTTGAACACCTTATTTTTTTAATTTAAATTTGGATAAGTTACAATTGGCATTTGAATTTTTCACATTTGTTTATTTTTTTTTTATGTGATTCAATGAAAATCGAATTTAAAACATTTCATTTACCAGTAAAGAGGAATACTGCTAATTCGTAATACTACGTGGCAAATACAAACTCCAAGCATAACCTATAGGGATGCAAAATTCATAGGTTTAGTTAGTGTATGTTCCACCTCAAACCCTTTCGTTCAAATCAATTTTTTTTTTTTCTCAAATGATAAATTTGTTAGATTAGAGAACCAACAGAATTTGCACTCACACCGATGCAAGAGCAACACTCATCTTCACCACTCTAGTAGATGACCACTTGCAAATCATTTAGAGAATTTTCGCACGCCTTTTTCTGCACACTGTTTAAAATTCTAAATCTGCCCCGAAATTCTTCTATTATTTAGCACATTAATAAACAATGTTGTGTGCTAGGCTAACAAAGAAGTGTGCGCAAAATCACCTCCCATCGTTTAAACACAAGATTCCACCCTGCTGCTAATCAAAGCTTATAGAGATATATTGTACTGGCTTTTCCACTTATTCCATCAACCAGCCAAGGACATATTTCCCTTGTTCTTCACCATACAAAAACAAACAGAATGGTCAAAGAAAATCCCTTCCTCGGAATTTTGAGAACAGAAATGAAACAGTAATATGAACTAATAGCCGTGGAACCCAAACAATTTCATGTATATTATCTAATATATGAGAGACCAAATTCAAAAGCACCTAAGCATATCGTTTCTGCTAAACAGTATATATTTTGCATCTCCGAAAAATACAGGTCTTTTCATCCACGAATCAGGATCGAGCGAGCAGAAGGGCAACAAGGAGAAATCCAAGCTCCATTGCAGTTATCACCTGGTGACTCTATAGTTCTACAAAACCAGGGAAGAGTTTGGTTAAGTTTTCTTTCATTTAATAAACTGATGTTAAGGAGATTTCAAATTAACTATTCTGAAATGTGTTGCAAAGAAAACGGTTTGTATCTGAAAGCAAAACCATCAAATACCTTAACACTTTGCAATAGCTGTTTGGCAGCTTTGTCATTCTTGAAGTGTGCTCGTACAGGCTGCATACGGAAACAAAGAGAAAGTTAACCTAGCAGCAAATAACCAAACTGGCAGTGATTTTTTTAGGGAATAAAGGCCCGCTACAGCAGCAGAAAAGAGTAGCCAGCCATTCCTCTTTCTCCCTTCTTTTTTCATTTTCATTTTTTACCAGATAGGCATAACTTACAATATATATATATATAGTATATACACACACACACACACGCACTTGAAGTTTGAGATTAAAGCAGAGACCCGGAGAGAGAGACTCTGATCAGCTCCAGGACCTTTTTCATGAGACAGATCAATTATTGAACGTAAAAACAGACATTCTGAGCCTATAAATGCAGATTTCTTTCCCCAAATCCTTACGGTGTAATGTTTACATTTTGCATATACTCTAAGGGTTAGTCAAATTGGCATCAGGCCGTGAAATCTGGCGAGATAAAGAACATGACATATACAAAGTGAGCCTACCTCGAGTATCTTGTTCAATGCCTTTGATAAAGCTGATTTTAGGTCTGCTGGATGTAGCTCGCCGCTTTCATAATCTGCAGCTAATTCTTCAAAGGTTTTGAAGGTTCTGTATTGGAAAGAAAAGAAAAGGGGGCACAAAAAGAACAATTAGCAGAGGCAAAAATATTAATTTTCTTAAAAATGGGCAGGATGTACAGCTGAATTGGCAAAAGCCTTTAACTAAAAATTGTAACCATTATAGATTTGATCTAAAGTCTATCACTTACTTATTTCCACCATTCTTTTCAGTCCGCTCTACAACAAACTCATTGAACCAAGGTAGAATTAGATACTTCACATATTCCATACATGGATTCCCATCAACAACATTTGGAGGACAGTAAGCTTTCTTTATCTTCAAATTCACTTCAGCCTAAGATTCAGTGATATATGTCCAAAACAAAAAAAAACAAATATTTAGTGGATTACAATGGAAGATAAACACCCTAGCTTAAAACTTGAATACATTTTTCTTCCAATTCATATGTAGCTTATACAGATCATATAACCTTGACCCTCACAGAAATTGAAAATTTAGTTCACCTCTAACAGGCTAGTAGCAAGTTAGCAACCCACCTCTTCGTCTTCCATGAATATGGAGGACGATACATCACTTTTCGACATTTTCTCCTGCCCTTGCTGCAAACCAGGTAACATGTCTGCAAATCATCATTTAGAAAAACAACACAAAAACCATGTCACCGCTCCCATGTTAAAGGATAAAACGTTACACTAGCAACAGGTGGAATAGGATTTAGAATGTTACGGTGTGATAAGATAATAGGCTTGTTCTTCTTTTTTATGTCATCGCAATACTCTCTTGCAAGCACATTGACTTTACGTTGATCCATTCCCAACTGGCAGATGTCTGCCTGTTATAGGAAAAATATTTTACAGGTCACTCTTACTTCAACATGGATATTTTTTCCCTCTTTATATGAGATAAAACAAATATAAACTAGCATTTTGATGAACAATGATCAAAAGATAAAAAGCTAAAACAAGGGAAGATCAGATAGCCAAATGTCAAAATGCATGATCACATAGTAGTACAAATAACAGATTTGTACAAAGAAAATATATTGAACTTTTAACAAACGATATTATCTACATTGAGGGGGAGGGGTGGGCTTAGCCTCACAATGGGCTAGCAATAATGTGGTTCAAATTCGCCTCTGACGAGAATCGAACCTAAGACCTCTCACTTACAAGTGAAGAGGAATACCACTAGACCGTTGTACTAAGCGGCTATTGAACTACATTTTAGTCTACAAGTGACATGTTTATGCAACTGTAATATTCCTTCGATCTTTGAGGAATTGGTTGTAGTGGACTGAGTCTCCAGTATGCACTAAATTATGCATTTGACACAACTGAAAGTTATCTAATGTTCTTCATTCTTTTCATATAAACAAAATCTAATGGATTTCTTTTACATGCATCCTGATCAGAAGACACGTCATCTAAACAAGATCTAGGTAAATAGTGAGTCTTAGGGCGCCATTAAAATGGACATTCATGAACCTCGTGCTCTTTGTAGTTTTCACTATTACGCTTTTCATATTCATGTAATTCTATACAATAGGTTCAATAATTGAAGTAGCACAAAACAAATGCAATGTCCTAAGTGGTACTATCATATACTTAATACATAAAAGTTAGCATCATTCCTTTAATAATTGATGTCATTTTCAGTTTCAACATACAGCAACACGGGAAACAAATCCTATTAACAAAAATTCAAAAGCAAAAAAGCTAGCTACCTGAAGGAAGAATATATCTGCACACTGCATGCATGGGTAGAGAATTTGGGCTGCCGTTAACTCATCTTGCTCAGTTCGACCCATAATCTGACTACACCTGGATATATAGGAGAAAAAAAAATTATTTTACAGGCTCGACAGATATAATGGGCACAATAAGCATCACAAAATGCTTGCTACCTAATGATTCTAGGAAGTTTATTTTTCCGAGCTATATCCATCACACGAGGCCAGTACTCATGTGCTCTCGCATTAATCTCCTTTGACGACCACAGAAACTCAACTTTTCCGGTGTCCAAATTCATCCCCGCAGCCCTCCATATCTCAATCATGTAGCGGCCAACTGTCTCTATCTTTTTCAAATCACCCCCCATCTTGTTATTCAACTGTGCAAACCAATCTGCAATCCATATCTTCACTCGGCAACCAGCGGATGTCAGTTTGTTCACATTTATGGTTTTCATAACTCCCTACACAACAACCCATTAAAATAAGCAATGCTCAAACAAATATACGCCAATTGTTCTTTTGAAAAACTAGAAAGTCTACCATAACCTAAATGAGTTTATAAGAGTAACACACTATAAAGTTCCAATTGAGTACCTTTTCAAATTCACAAATACACAATTCATATCAATTTGTTTTCTTATTATAAATGTAACGAATACTCAAAAAAATGATTTGAAACCTGAGCAATGTGCATTCGACCGGAGGGTTCAAACCCATCGTAGCAGATGGGTTCGGCCTTGTGAGCCAGCAGATTCTGAAGCTCATCTTCTTGAATGCACTCCTCCGCCACGCTCCTCACGATCCGGTACTTCTCCTCCAAGCTCAATCTTCAACAAAACCACAGCCGCACAAACACACAATATTGAAATAATTCAGATCAACGGGCGAATTTAGAAACGGAAAGAGAAAAGGAAATCGATACAAGCTTACGGAGCGGTTGGATTAGAAGAACTAGAGGGTTGGTCTTCGGCCTGAGGTTCAGAAATGGAAAGCGATTGGACTTTGTCGGCCGAAGGGAATTGCTCTGGTGCTTCGGTCGCCATTGGAGAGGTGGGAGCTATGAAGCACGAGAGCTTCAATTAGGTGCCGATTTGCGCTCCGGGAGCGGGAGCGGTCGGAATCGCCGGAGGCCGGCTTGGATACGGCTCGAAATCGTCTAGGGATTCGCCGGCGTTTGCAGCAGTATTGGCGAGGAGGAAGACGACCTGTTCTGTAGAGTGGTGAGAACGAAGAAGGCAGGAACGACGGGAGGACGAAGAAAGGAAAAATAATAAAAACCCTAAGTTGGAGACGGCGTCGTTTCCTTGAATTAAAAGCCGTACTGTTGTCCCTAAGCTTAGCGCTAGCTTGGTATTACTGTATTTTAAAAACAAAAAAATATATATATATATTTATATTGTGTTGTAAAAATAAGCAGTTTAAAGTATCTGGTAAATAATAATTGTCAAAATGCTTTTAGCAAAAAAAATAGTGTTATATTGGTAAATTTGTATGTTAAACAACAGTGTTAAATGACAAAAAAAAAATGCATAATAGAGGATGTGCTATTAATTTATCTGTTTGAAAAATAAATTTTAATTATTACATAGTTATTTCTTAATTTAAATCTATCCCAAATATTAATTAGTACAACAAATTACTTCAAAATGAATAGCAAAATTTATTAGTGCATCTCCAATAACTAATTTTTTTGTTAGTATAGCTAGTAGACACATCCCGACGAGAAATGTTTTAGTGTGATCGGTACACGGGGTGGTACACAATGTGTCACTGTACAAATAGTGGGATATGTGCGCTAAAAGGTTAATAACTTAAAATTTCCCACTAATCCTATTAAAACATGTGATATACCACTTATGTTCTCGTCACAACTAAAAATTTCTCCATCCTAACCCCAATAACACAAGTTATGAGGCCAAGACATGTTGGCCGCCACTAAATTGACCGTATTACTCCATCGAGATGACATCACAAGCCAACTTAATGACAAAGCCATAGTAGATAATTATGATGTGAGAGAATTTGAACCAAAATGTTCTTTATTAACAAATAAAAAGTTGCTACAAAGTTTCTCTAATCTACTTCCCCACTTGGGGACACATGTTCGGAGATTAAATCCCGTTACTTATCATCACATCAGAGCAGCTAGAAGTTTCACACAATAGTAACACACATAAAATTCCAGTGTCATGCATAATAAAAAGTAGATCATGCACTTATTACAAACTAAGATAAACTGCAGTAAAGAAGTCATCAGACTCATCACTCAAAGTTCAAAGGATGGATGCCTCACTGCCATGCCCACTCGTCACTTCCGGTTTTCTCCTTATTCTCGTTACGTCCTAAGGGGTAAAAAAAAAACAAAGTGTGACTAGGTCAAGTTCATCTAGTTAAAATCATTTGAATATTGTAACCCTTGTTTTGAAATCACATATATAGCAAAAACTACATAAATATAGTTGTGAACACGGAAAATTCCTGAAATGAAAGAGACAAGAACAACGTGCACAAACAAATATTTGTGTTTGATGATTTTGGGTTACAATCTCTCTCAAATTTGATCCTCTGATTCGATCTCCGTAAGGTGTTGATTGGTGGGTGTTTCGTTGATCCAAGGGCCGTCAAGGCTTAATCTTGGATGAACAGTTGGAAGTTTCTTCAAAGGGCCGTGGGCTTGATCTTTGAAGGTGGATTTGAGCGGATCTTCAAGGACTTTTGGGCTTGATCTTGAAGAAACAGTGACGAACAGATCTTCAAGTGCTTTTGGGCTTAATCTTGAAGAACGGTTGGATGTGTGGATTTGTCGACGTTTGTTGATCCAAAGGGCCGTTGGGGCTTGATCTTGGAAGAACGGATGATGAACGATGGTGCTTTCTTCAAGGGCCGTCGGGCCTTGATCTTGAATTGGTGGATGGTTGATCCAAGGGGTCGTTGGGGCTTGATCTTGGAAGAACGAGGAACACTTTCTTCAAGGGCCGTCGGGGCTTGATCTTGAATTGGTGGATGATTGTTGATCCAAATGGCCGTTGGGGCTTGATCTTAGGATGAACGATGAACGAAGAACGCTTTCTTGATTCTTCGGGAACCTGGATGCTTGAGAGCTTCGGAGTTTCAGAGCTTCAGAGCTTCAAGAGTTTTGCCTAATGATTTTGGTTCCCCCAAATGAATGAAATGGCTTGTATTTATAGAAATTTCCAAGGCCTAATTTTGAATATAATATTCCAGATGAAATAAGTCGTTTCTGCCAGGTGTTGACACGTGTCCTATTTGATGACTTTTCCAACTCATTTCAATTTTCGTTGAGTTACACGCTACGTGTAAAATTTATGTAATACATGAGCGTTGAAACTTTGATTTATCGGTCAACATTTATTTACCGAAATTTCGATGTCTACAAATGCCCCCACTTCAAGTCGCGTCGTGTACATGTGCTTGTCGCGTGTAGGAGATGCGTTTTGAAGTCCCTTACTGTAGACGTCGATCCAAGGGCCGTCGAGGCTTGATCTTGAATTGGGCTGGCTGGAGATTTCTTCAAGGGCCGTTGAGGCTTGATCTTGAATTGGGCTTGAGATTTCTTCAAGGGCCGTTGAGGCTTGATCTTGAACTTTGTTTGAAATTTCTTCAAGGGCCGTCGAGGCTTGATTTTGAAGGTTGAAATTGGACCACAAGGAGCTTCATGTGGTAGATGATCTTTGGCTTTGGTAGTGGGTGAATCGGCACGTATTTTGTTGCGCTTGTTGACTTTCCACAGCTTTGATCTTGAACTGGGTTGGAAGATTTTCTGGATTCCTCCAATTGTTGATTTTCCACAGCTTATTCTTGAACTAGGTTTTGATTCAAGGGTGGTAGACACTTGATCTTGAATCGGACTTGTGATTTCCTCGATGGCCGTCGAGGCTTGATCTTGAATTTGGTTGGAAACTTCTTCAATGGCCGTTGAGGCTTGATTCTTGAAGGTTGACTCGAACACATGGCAAGCGGGCACGAGGTGAGGGTGACGACTTGTTGCTTTGTTCAATCTTTCTAATTCACACCTGAGCAGTTTGGTCAACGGTATGATCTTCAAGATTGATGGGCTATTCTTCTAGTTGGTGACTTGATCTTTAAGGATTTGATTCAAGGGTGGTGAATCGACACGTGCAGCTCACAACGCCTAGTAAGCCGACCCAAGAATTTGAGGGTCAAAATGAATTCACCGTCCAAAATGATTGCCACCCTGATGATATGAGATACTTTTGATTTTAAAGAAGTAGCGGATGACTCAGCACGTGCTTTGTTGCACGTTTCCACATGCTTCAAGGTATCATTTTCATTTCCTTTATCTGTTCCTCAGGCGGATGCGGCATCTTCTCGAGTTCTTCATCTCAGACTCCTTCTGCTGAGTTGACTGTGCATGCTGTATTATTCTCTGCTTGTTTCTTCAGGCAGATGTGGCAGCTTCTCGAGTTCCTCAGTTCGGACTACTTCTGCTGAGTTGACTGTGCAGACCGCATTCTTCTCTGCTTGTTCCTTCTGCACGTTGTCTCCACATGCTGCAAGGTATCATTTTCACTTGCCTTATCTATTCTTCAAGCAGATGTGGTAGCCTCTTTGGAAGTACAGCAACAGTGGGAAACGAGTACTCGAGAGCAGTGCTAGGTAGGCAATCAGGGAAGGGTTCCAAGCAGTCGGTTCCTTACCCGAGTTTGAGTGGAAGTTCCAGCATATTGTTTTCTTTATCCTTGTCTTTGTAGGTAAGAACAAGGGCAAAGGAAAGGACAGGGAGAACGCATGATATGAGATACTCTTGCTTTCTACCCTGGTGATATGAGATACTTTTGCTTTGGAGTCATTGGCTTGTAGAGGTACCCCAAGGAATAAGGAACATTGAATGACTCGAGAGGCTTCGTTGGGAAAGCATTTTTGGAGATGAAGAAAGGCTCTGTATGTCTGCCTTGCTATGGAAGGTGAAGGTGGACAGTTATAGGAATTTCTTTAGTACCTATAGAGGTACTATTCTTTCACTCGTGTCGGCAACCAATGCGTGATTGAACAGTAAACTTCACGTGCTTTCTCCTTCACCGAAAATCTTCGACAAATTGCCCGTGATTTGCGCAAAGTTGAGTGTGCATATGACAGGTGTTGACGAGGCTGAAAAAGACTGGCGCCTCTTCAATATCTGGGATCGGCGCTTCGACAAATTACCCGTGATTTCCGCAAAGCTGAGTTTGCGTGTGATGGGTGCTGACGCGTCTGGAAAAGCAAGATGCTTCTCCAATTTCCGAGCTTGCCTCTTCGATTTTTTGAATGGCCTCTTCGAATTCTGAGCTCGCCTCTTCGATCTCTGAAATCCCGTCGAGTGCTGATTTTTTCTTATAGAGGCATGCAGTTCATTTCAAAGCACACTTGAATTTTCGCTTGTGAAAACTCCCTTCTTGCACTTCTAAGATCTTGATTTGTCTGTTTTCTTCTTCTTTCAATACTTTGAAAATGTCTGGACCCTCTGACCGTCGTTTTGACTTGAATCTTGGTGAAAAGGCAGTCCCTTCTTCTCCAGACAACATATGGCGCCCATCCTTCATATCCCCTACTGGTCCTCTTACCGTTGGGGATTCAGTGGTGAAGAATGATATGACCTCTGGCTCTCAGTGTGCAGTGTGCAGGTTCTGTGTCTAATAAGGCCCAACGCCTATTTGCTCGAACCCGTCAAGTTGAATCATTGGCGGCTGAAGTGACGAGTTTCAAACAGGAGATTAGGGGGCTCAAGCAGGAGAATAAACAGTTGCATAAGCTCGCACATAGCTATGCGACAAACATGAAAAGGAAGATTGACCAGATGCAGGAATCTGATGGTCAGATTTTACTTGATCATCAAAGGTTTGTGGGTTTGTTCCAGCAGCATTTGCCTTCGTCTTCTGGGGCTGTACCGCGTAATGAAGCCTCAAATGATCAACCTTCGGTGCCTCCTCCTCCTGGGGTTCTGCCTAATACTGAGGCTCTGAATAATCACCCTCTGGTGCCTCTTCGATCTGGGGCTCCGCCGAGTACTGAGGCGCCATCTGATCAACCTTGAAAATCCCCTCCTGTAAATTTGATTTGATATATATTTTTTTTAAGTATGTATAATGCAAATTTATGTAAAATTTCCAGAATAAATAAAAACGAACTTTATTTCTCTCAATGCATTTGTTTTGTTTTGTTTTTTGTTTTTTTTGCTGTAAACATACATATATTATGCACACACACATACATACATACATACATACATACACACATATTAAT